CGTGAAGCGATCTTTTTTTTGTGGCGTCACATTGCCAAATAACCTTGTTGACCATAATCCATGAGATATAGAAACCAGTTCCAGTTTCCGGTTATCTGGTGGTCACGGTTCCTCTGCAATTCGTAAGAAAGCTTTCGGGATTCTGGAAGGAAAAGAATAGACAGACACACCCTAGAATTTGAATTATACTTACCCTATACTCATTGCTACGTGTTTAACAGTACTCTCAGAGGTAAAATAGCGAGACGGATACTCATACCCTCCTTTCAGGGTGAGGCTTGCGAATGCCCTAAGCCCTAGTCGCGTGTGGATAATCAGTTGACGAAAAGACGCAAAGAAGACGTGAATCGATATCGATTTCGGCTGACCGGCCCTAAAGTAAGCACGTGATTGCGTACCTTTCTGAATCACAAAATTTTCGTTCTTGATATCTTTCCCCCACCACCACGACCTCCAGATTTTCCTTTTCCTGTACCAAAAGATGTCGACGCCTACTCTGTGGACGATTCCCGTTCAGCCAAAGGGCAAGCCGGTATGTACAGCTTGGCTCTGATTGATATCGATATCTAAAGATGTCCTACAGATCCGGGCTGCAGCCGTTATTGGAAAAGTTCCCTTTAAGCTCCCGGATGCCTATACACACTATGACGATAATCTGAAGCCTCCATTCTTGGGTAAATTCCCCCACGGAAAGATCCCAGCGTGGGAGGATGGCGATTTCTTGCTCTTTGAGTGGTCTGCGATTGCTCGATACGGTGCGTAATTGCAAAAATTTGCGATTCATTTTCGTTTTCCTAGGATGAGATTCATTCATTCAGTTATCCCTATCTTAACATCCGTGTCGACAGCATTTCTAATTCTCTGATTTCTTTGTTCTTCTCCGTTACGATGGATACTGATAAATTCGGTTCCCAGTCGCCTCAAAAGCTCCCAACTCGAACTTGCTCGGCTCGACTCCAGAAGAAGCTGCTCAGGTTGACCAGTGGATCCACCTTGCTGAGAGCGAAGTCGACATCTACACCGTCCTTACCAACCATGTCTGCAATGGCAAAATTGCCGGCTACTCCAAACCTGCCCACACCTACTTCCTCGAGAAACAGCTTCGTGCTCTCAAAACTCTCGATGCTCACCTTGCTAAGCACACGTTCTTCGTCGGCGAGCGCATCACCCTCGCTGACCTCAGCATCGCTGCCTTCATCCAATTCGGTGTTGGCGTCAGTATCGACGCCTCTGTCCGTGCTCAGCTCCCCCATCTCATCCGCCATCTCGAGACCATCGTCAACCAACCCCAGCTGAAGGAGATCTACGGCCCCATCAACTACACCGAGAAGGGTGTGCAATTCGTTCCACCAAAGAAGGAGAAGGCTCCTGCTCCCCCCAAGGAGAAGAAAGCCGAGGAGAAGAAGCCGAAGAAGAAGGAAGTCGAGGACGACGATGCTGACGAGCCCGACGTTCCCCCCGAGCCCAAGGTCAAGAACCCCCTCGACGACCTCCCCAAGTCGACATTCAACCTCGAGGACTGGAAGCGGGCATATTCCAACAAGGACACCCGTGGAGCTGGTGGATCCATCGAGTGGTTCTACCAAAAGTATGTACCATCTTTTCTCTTCATTTCCCTGTCCTTCATGCTATTCTTCAGCTTCGACGCCGAAGGCTTCTCTATCTACCGCGTCGACTTCAAGTACAACGAAGAACTCACCCAGACGTTCATGTCCTCCAACCAGATCGGCGGATTCTTCAACCGTCTAGAGGCTTCGCGAAAGTACCTCTTCGGCTCCGTCGGTGTTCTGGGCCAGACCAACGACAGCGTCATCAGCGGTGTCCTCATTCTCCGTGGTCAGGACGTCGCCCCCGTCGTAAATGTTGCTCCTGATTGGGAGAGCTACAAGTATGAGAAGATCGATTTGAAGGACGAGAAGCAGAAAGCCTACTTCGAAGGTGCTCTCGCTTGGGATTTGGAGCTCGACGGCAAGAAGTGGGTTGATGGAAAGAACGTATGTCCTTTTCTTCCTTATCTTCTGTCGCATACTGATATCAACGTTCGCAGTTCAAATAATCTGATACTTAACTTTGATGACTGTATTCGTGTTGTTGCTGATCTGTTACCATTTGGGGGTGTTGTTCGATAGAGAATGAAAACAAGATTGTAACATACTTGTGGGTGCCAACTAAGGCTCGGACCATTCGCTGGTGTCGTTTAGCCGCAGTGCTTAGCTGCAAGAGGTTCAAATGCAACGTCACCGTGCGTAGGCAAGTGGGATGGCGACAGCCTCCGAACAGATTACTCCCGGTGTGACTTACGTCGCAGTTGGATTCCGAGCTTGGCCTTATGATTTATTGCATGCAACAGGAGCGAAATTTTGGAAGAGAAATATGGACCAATTGCGACGACTGCAGCATTTCCAGGATTCTTATGCTAACCGATATCCCCAAAACACTACCCTACGTGAACCTGAACCAAGGATACCCGAATTCGGGATTTTTCAGGATTAACTAACAACCGGAGGTGAAATATTGGATTAGGAACTTCCGACGGATCCTTGCATTGTCTTTGCAACTGGACTGGGAATGTGAGTAAAAATTCTGTATAAGCTGATACGAACTGAGTACTGGCTACTTCTGTTCGACAGGCACGTCTGTGGCATGCATCACTTGTGATATGCTCCCTGGTACAGAATACAGAACGATGTCGAGGAGAGACTGGTAAGGCCATTAGCTATGTCACGAAATCCTTTTACGCCAAGCATTGCGTCGACGCATTAGACGGCAACGGAGATGGCGGTAACGAAGAGGGATGGGACCAGCGCCCCAGAGGAAGCAAAACTGCACCAGGAGACCAAGAGGGTTGTGAAAGCAAGATGACAAGCTCTGGTGAAGACTGAAGTCTGTGTCGTCCGAGTCAGCGGTCAGTGGTTCCGATATTGTATTCCAGCCTCTCATCCGCTGTTCAGTATTGATCAACTGGCTCGAGTCTTGTCGGCAATAGAAAGGTTGCCACTCAAAGGAAGTGCTGCTAAGAGCCTCTCCGAGACTTCTTCCTGGCAAGTCTTCGCCATTTGTTTCAGCGATACCGCCAATGAAAGGGTTCCTCGAACACTTTGCTGTGATATTATCGTCGTAGAAGATACTTGGTCAGTCTGGTGTACCCCAATGCTAAAGATATCACGAAGGGTATATATATGTCTCTGGCATTCGTTCGATGTCATGTCAGGTACACAAGAAGATGTCCATGTTGATCGGCAAAAGGAGATGAGCGAGCCTTACACTCGCCGCGGTCTCATGGAATACCTGCATAAGGTTGCTCTCCCTCTCTAGCTGAAGGTGTGTGCATGCGCCGGTTCCGTACAATAACCGTTGATCACACGTTAAAAGCGACAAATCCACCGATGTAATACATAAAACATCCCGAGCTATTTCTAGCTCTCCGTCTGATCTATCTGTGTATTGATCATTTAACCACTGCGCAAGTGCCTGACTGACGCTGCGCGTCCGTGGGTTCAATCCGTGACGCCGATATCCCAACTTCAGTCCATAGGCGCTCATGGAACGTGCTCGGTATTCGACGCGCTTCGTGCGTATGACATCACCGAGACCATCGACAAAGAAGAAGAGTGGCAAACACGACGGCGCGATCCCACGGCTTCGCAGCTTGTTGATGGGCCGAGGACTGCGGATACGTGTGGTCGGGAATTCTGATGACACTGAAAGGATGGTTCCTCATCGATTCGTCAACTTAATCTCTTACTACTTTTTTACCCCCGCCGCCGATGATGTTGAGCACCTTCCCGCTATTCCTCCTATGCTTGTCGCTCGTTAATATCGAAGGAGGTACGTTTCGTGTCCCTTGTCCTTCGAACGGGATAATAATGACCGTTCTCCTTGAAGTCATCGGCCAGGGATTAACATCCTGGCTCCCTATCCTCCATCGCGATACCAACGCCACTTCCGCCGTCAATATCTCATACATCCCCGATACCTGTTCGACCGATTGTAAAGTCCTCGTTTCCATCGTTGTGAGTTGCGTATAATCGTTGTCCCGAGTCTGAACTTTATGGGACTCTGTGTAGGCCTGCGGAGATAGCATGGGCTCTTGCCTCTGCTCGACCAACTACAATGCGAGCGTGTCTAATTGTCTTACCTGCTTCACGAGCGCGGCTTCAGGTGCCGACGAGGAGGCCATGCTCGAGGAGCTAGATGAGCGTAAGTAATAACAGGCCTTGTCGTCCTTGTTTCAATCTTATACTCACGTCAGTGTACTCCACATGCGAGGTTGCTGCTGCGAAAGCCGATGCGGCGACAACTGGGGGAATCAAAGAAGGCGCTATTCTAGCGGGGATAATGATAGCTGCTTCGTGGACATCGATGTTTTGGCTCTAACTCTTGGTCAGGGATGTTCTTTGGCGTTCGCTCATTCTTACCACACACTCACTTGATATTTATTCATGAGCGTCATCTTCCAAATGGCTCTTAGCCAAATACAAACGTGAATGTAGCTACGAGGAAGGTCCTTCGTGATTATTTACTTTGAGAACCATATTACGACCCAGATGGAGACGTGCTACCGATTTTTGAACAATAAGACGAGCCGTCTCTCGCACCGGAAGGCTCCGATTCATTTTCCAGGTAGCAGCAGCCCACCAGTGTAAGCTTCAGTCACCACGTAGATTCCACTAGTGTAGCGCATAAAACTTAGTGACCGGCTATCTTGTATTCATGTCCCAATGACTGGTGCGTAAATCACTACAGCTACATGTATATTCTCCTTACGAAGAATGGGCATAGATATACCAATAATTTCGAATGAATTACAACTCCGAGTCCTTTGATAGAGAAACAGTGTAAAAATGTAATCGCCGTATCAAAAAAAGGGTAATTGACCCATGTTTCTGCGCTACCTGGATTCCAAAGTCCAGACTCCAGACTCTAACATCGTCACTCCAAAATCGTGAATCATGAACCATGATGACCAAAAATCAAAACAGTTTGCATGGAGAAAACTACTCTCTGACTGGGAGTCGAACCCAGCTTTCGCGCGCTCATAGATGTGGATTTGGATGAAAATGACAGGTGCGTGTACTAACCGATATACTATCAGAGATCTGATAGTGCTATGAGGGTAGTATATATATGAGGTACAAACTATAGTGCCAGACTTTTACTTTCACAAACCCACCGGATACTTTTATGAACTGAAGATCCATGCATGGAACCCAAAAGGCACTTGTAGAGCAGAATTCTACCAGGCCGACATTCGGGTGCTTGGCATCTGGGCATAATGGTACGCATTTGTTCAGTAATCGGCACCATTGTGATCTCAAGACCAGCTGTAGCATTTGCCAACACGTTCGACTCCTGTACCTCGTCGTCTACCTTTCCGCTATTCAATATTCAGCGCGGTATATTTCCCTGCACGAGGCCACCCAACAGCGCTAGACAAGAGGCCTGCAAAGTGCACCAGTAGGGAATATAGTGGTGGCAGGATGGCAAGGGAAGCGGCAGCCTAGGGACGCCCAACTCGGACTACAGATGATGCGCTGCCGATAAACTCAAGTGCCCGATGCATGTTGACTGGTATCTATTCGAGAAAAGAGCAGGTTGCCACAGGGATTCACGCCAGTCTGCATTTAGAGTCTGACTCCATCGACGCGGGAACTAGTGCTCACCACGCACGATGTTTATATCATCTCAGTGACGAGAAGCTCTGTCTTGCGGCCTCGACCGCTACTTCTCTTTTCCAAGACTTTGCTCTGTGGGTACGGTAGGGGGATATGAAGGAGTAGTGACCCTTTGTGAGTATATTGCTCTTCGGCTTTTTGGCTTCGACTGATTGGGATAACGTCAGACGTACACGCCCACTGGGAATTCGTTACTTCTGACCGTCCGTTTCTATCATATGGACCTATGCACTAGACTGTACGCCCCGCACCATCGTGGTTCTGGCCAAACACATGCTCTCCAGTCTTCTCCTCTTCCTGTGGTTAAAAACAGTACTCAAGTCACGAAACTGACGTTCCGAGTGGGAGTCGAACCCGCTCGTACCTAGGACCGCTACGCCATCAGAGCGCAGGAAGGAGGGGAAACAAGGAGCCTAGACTCTAAAGGTGCGTGCATTTGACCAAGTTCTGGAATGAGACTAATAACCTACAGGCCTTATTATTTGGCCTTGTCCACGTTCTCCATTCGCACACCAAACGATCGTACATTCCAGTGTATGCATTCGACATCAATGTGCCAGAGCGCCCTCGCGGATTCTCTGTATGCCTAGATCGTCATTCAGCGACATGTATATTTACACATCCGCCTCTCTGGGTATGTAGTAGGCCACCCACGTGAAGGAGATATTAGAGTCCCCATGTGCGTGTATCGTTCTCCGCTCGGTAGAATTCGACTAACTAGGATACCCTCAGACACACGCGCCCTACTAGACCCGATTGTGGGAATCCATGCATCGATAACGCTGTGGCTTGTAGTCTCTCAGGCCAAGCACGCGTTCTCCTCTCGTGTTGTAGTTCAAAACAGTATATCTGCCTACCCAAATTCAATGAATGGGAATCGAACCCTTTCGTTACTGTATCAAACAGACCTCGTGTGCTACCAGAGCACAGATGACAACAAGGTGCAAGGAGTCGAGAGGTGCGTGCGTTTCACTCGGCTCTGGAATGACTCTGAGGCGGCCACTCACAGTTGGTTGCAGCCGAGGATGATGAACATGCAGGCGACCCAATGTCGGCTACGCTCGTCCATCTCACACGCAAGATCAGACTCGAAATGTACAATGCTGACTGGAGAGACCCACAAGCATGCGCCCCAGTTTCGGAGCGCCCTCGCCCTTAGTTATATTTTGTAAAATGGGAAATTGAACGTCTGCTACAGGCATCTGATATCGCGACCTGGATGAGCAAGTGCTCGGGAAGAAGGAACGACCGAATGGTGTTTTGTTCCGATCGCTGATCCTTGCCATCAGACACCGCCTGATATTGATTGGGGAGTTACACCGACGTGGGCTAAAGTTATCGCTAAGTTGAATGCTTAGCGCACTTCGTATCATCTTTGCGAATCTCGGGCCCGGACGGCGCGTATAAAGGAAGGTACTAGTACCGCTATGCCTCCCCTTTGTCAGGGAGACGGGTCGCCAGTGGACGTCGAACAATAACTGGAGCAACGGTTCTCACAGAATCGTTGCTACTACCGAAGTGGGTTATCTTGCCTGACGAGCTTTGTCGTTGATGCTAATTTCTAGGCAGGCAACTAGAAGGCCGCCTTCCTGGCGTTTCCACGTTCCGGCAGACTAGGTTTAGTATCTCGAGTACGGCCCAAGAAACCTTGCCTTCTGAATGACCCTGCCTTCCCGAACCGACACGGATTCGGGAACGTATTGGGCCCTTGCAAGTTTGAATCTGCTTTGCTTCACGCAAGTGGGACCTAACTAGTCTTGTTTTCTGTGCAAGAAGGAAGCTCCAGGAAGCAGAAACCACTCTCCGGATCGAGGATGAGGAGCTGAAGAAATGATTTCTTGTATACTATAAATAAGGGGGAAAAACGAGGCGTGGTACGTCATGAATGCGTGAGGGCTCTGACTGGGAATCGAACTCAGTTTTTGTCCGTGTAAGCATGCTAACAGATATCCTAGACATCCGCTTGAACTTCGAGCCACATTTCTGTCGGTATCCTTCACCAAGTTTAGTCCCGCGTCTATTTAATTGCCCTGTGACGCCATTTCAGCCGACCGTGCAGCATGTCCTTTTCACGAAGGGTGGTCTGCCCAGTTTGCGGTGTTTTCAGCGACTCCCTTTCCACGTGGTGGCTCATGAGGAACCATTCGTACTACTTCGTGTCCGGACCTTCTCCACACCACCCATTCCCCTTCAGAGGCCACCCTCACAACAAATGGCCTTGCCCTCGATCGCCCCTGTTTCTATCAGGCCACGCATCGATAAATCGCACCATCGTCTTCCTTCCAAATCTAGCTAGCTCTCCAGCCTTCCCTCGTGTTGTGGTTTTACATTCCGAGTTTAAAAAAATGCATACTAGGCGACATATACGTTCTGAGTGGGAAAGGACTGGAGAGGTGTTTGGCTCTGGAATGGGACTAACGCAGGAGACCCTACATCGACTTGCACCACGCCGAGCTCGGCGGGCCTCGGAGCCGGCTATCAGTTCAGAGAGACGCGTATAGTACGTCCACGTCGGAGGGCCCGCCTTTCTGTTCTTCTCGTCTCCGCGATTTGATACTAAGCGAGATTAGGTTTTGCTGGCGTGGTTTTGTTCACTGGTAGTATGTTCTTTTCCATTAAAACCGACGATGCTTCGCTCAGGAAAAAAAGGGTCACATCCAGGCAAGCAGGATAAGAGCTATGATAATGGAAGATCTAACCGAAGAACAGGATATTCGTGACTCGGCGTGGAAGAAATAAAATGAAGGGGGAAAAACCACGCTCTTTTATCTCTTTCTAACACTCTGACTGGGAATCGAACCCAACTTTCATCCGTGCGGGTGGACTAGCCGAAATTCTATCGGAGCCTACACGATATGGGGGTTTACAGAGCTCCTAAGCTATATTCGAGTCTGACCGACATCGACTTGTCTGCTCCTGGGTACTACCGAGGACGTAGAATCATTGCATCAACTCTCGCCCAGTTCATCACTGTATCGCAACTGTATCGGAGCGAGCAAATTTCTAACCTCAGTGAGCGCCGCGTGAGTCCGAGTGACACTCAGACTTACCCGACTGAATTCAGGAGGAGAAACTACGGCCTGTTCTCTTTTTTCCACAGTCAATACGCGTCATTGTAGATGAAAAAGCAGCACTGCACCCCAAATTCGACCGATCTCTGACTGGGAGTCGAACTCATCCTGCCAGATGGTCTAGCCGGTATCTACCAGAGATTACACAAAATATCATTTCTGAAGGAATATTACGCCGGCCGCATGTTGACGCAGAGGATGGGTCTCTCTGGTTCTTTCCCAATTATGGTATGGTCGACCGCGTTTTGACCCTAAGACAGTCTGCCAAGCGCACAACACCTCAGCCTCGTCGGTACCTCCGGTTCAGTCAACATCAAAACCGACCATGACTTGACCACTGATTTATATACCGTATATCTGTATACCTGTTCCATTGTTGACCTGCTATCCAGCGGCTGCGACTCTTGGCGTTTCCGACACGCTGACATCCCGAGGTGATTGATGCACAAATGGTCCTGCTGATGTTACGGGTACCGCGACACATAGTTCATTCCGTGCTTCTGGCTCCCGATGACCTTGGCCTGTACTTATCTTACAACGACGTGACCGGGACCTCGGTAACTCCTAAGACTTGTGCAGCCGTGGTCAAAGTCATTAGAGAATAGGCGTACTCGACCAATACCAGGCGTAATTCTCCATGGGAAGTGCTCCTGGAGAATCTACGGGTATATCCTTTCCATTCAGTTCAATCGCGTACGACATGATACCTTGGAGTTGGTGAACGGTGACTGGATGCAAGGTAAATTGTGGGATATTTGGTATTATCAAGCGAATTCAGAGATGGAGAGCGGCCCTTGATACCGGGGGTGAGGCCTCGATTCAGTCCTAGAATTTCGTCAAAGTGCGCGCTCAGGATTTGGACTCAACAGTGTTGCGCTGACCAAGAACCAGTCTTGTTGACGCCGTCGTGGAGAGAATAGATGTATCACGTATCATGCTGCCACTCTAATCTTGCAGATGTCGTTGACAAAACGGGCGAGGATGACATCGTGTGGGGAATGGCCTGATAACAAGTGGGATGAGCTCAGAGGAGCTCAGGCCCTTTGACTCACTGTATCTCCGCGTGTCTTTGTTCCAATGGATTTGGCCACTTAGTCAATGTATTTATCTTCGCTAACTTTCACAATTGTTCCGAATTCGAGGTGCACTGTTAAGGCACGGCTACATCCTTCAGGCGGGAGGCGGGAGGCAGGACGACGGAGGAAAAGAAAGCGAGGGTCGCGGTTACAGCCGAAAATATCCAACTTGAAACATTCCAGCTGGTTCAAGAGTTGAACGTTGAACCTCCTGCATAGTCTCGTAGACCAGACCCAGCTATCCGTATGAAGATAAGTCGTTCAATGGATGTAGAC